GGGCCGGCGCGAGTAGGGGTCACGTGGGGGGGGGGGGGGGGAAGTGCCATTACAACTTTTGCCGTCTAAAAAAAAAAAAAAAGGTCTTCGTTTTTTAAAATTTACCGACTGCCATAACGACATTTGCCGACTGACTTTACCGACTAACCTATCGACAGGGTCTACATTTGCCGACTAACTAGTCAAAAAGGGTCACATTGCCGACTAAGGGTCAAATTTGCCGACTAAAAAGTCATTGATGGGGGTGGGGGGTGGGGGGGGTGTTACACCCCCTACACCTCTTATCGCGCCAGCCTTGCATGTTTGAACAAATGTATAAGTATAAATAAGATTAAATATTCCTGTTTTATTGACTTGGAATCGCAATTGATGTTATATTAACAAAGGGATAAAGGGTAAAATTTAATAAATGCTACTAATAAAATAGAAATTTATAGTAAAAACTAAATACTGCAAATATGCATTATATTTCTTCCATTAAAATTATATTTTTTTTATCAAGGTACGCTGAATAAAAGTTTAATTTAAGTTAAAAATTTTAATCGGTAATAAATAAAGCTTTCTATGGCTTGAAATTGTCAATATCTATGTATTATTTTTGTTAAGGGATGTTTAACCAATAAAGGTAAACAATGCCGCAGTTTTCTGCAAGGTATAAAGAATTACAATAAATTTTCTATTACTCAGTATCAGTAATAAAAAAAAATCAAAATAGGACAGACTAATTATAAGATAAAGCTATAAATTAACTTTATCTATTAACAAAATTATTCATTTACAGAGATATGAAAAACTTGATAATGTTTATTTATACTCAATAAAGATATTGGTTTTGATGGTGTCATTACATGACAGTAAAGATAAATAATCCCATCAAACGCTATCAGATTCGCCCTAAACTGAAAAAAGGTTGGCGCTCGTGGCATGACAAATAATCTTTATAAACAAGACAAATATTACCGTTGTCAATCAAAGTTATAATTCTTCCAATTTTTTAAAGTTATTATTCTCCCAAAAATTCCCCGGGAAACAATTCCTCCGGAAGATATACCGGAATAAAATCCCCCGGGATAAAATCTCCTTGGTTTTTTTTTACAGCGTAAAAATAAACGATATATCAATTTAATAGTTGTTAATAATATAAATATTTGATACATACGTATTATAATGCAAACAGAACCTTAATTCTATACATTCAATATCGACTGACAAATAGATAGAACATACAAGAGTGCCTCTACATTGACTGAGGGTTTTGTTTTCCAATCGTTTACACGGAAAAACATTAATGAAGATTTAAATTTAATTATATCAAAATATTGCCTCAAAAAATATTTTGTGTTTAAAAATAGGTTTTGAAGATTGGAGTTTCATCAGCTATAATACTATTATCTTATGGAAATATTGTTTGGGGTAGTACAAACAAATCTAAACTCGACTGTCTCCTAATGTTAAACCTTTTCTAAAAAGCACTTGATATTTATGAACTAAATATTTTCAAAATTACACAATTTATGTTTTAACATCAGTCTAAAAAATGCCGAAGTTTTCGAAAATATTTTTCCTAAAACATTAAACCGATACAATACGCCATTTACCGGAAGATTTAAAAAACATTTCCATAAATCAAAACTTACGAGTTTTGCCATTTCCTATCGTGGCCCAATGCTATGGTACCATTTTACAAGCCTGAGTAGTAAACTTAAAGAAGTCAATTGTTGAATCATATCAAAATCGACTTAAATAAGTTTAGCGTTAAACGCCTCATATATTTTAATGCAACTCAAGATAAGTTATATTCAATCATATTCTTTCGGTATTTACAACTATGACTTTATATTATATACAACTATTTACAATTAACACAAATCGATCGTTAACAATCATAAAATATAATTATACTTTACACCAATACGTCTAAAAAATTTAATTAGAACATAATCAAACTTATTATCAATCAAGATTCTTTACATGATTTTTTCTAACAATACACTTTTATTTCCAATTTTTATTACCAAAGGTTACTCACGATAAGATTTTATCTTCTTCAGGTTCTCCGGTTTCGTAACTATTATAAATAATAGAATGTACTTGTATTTAATATTTTTAGGTATTTTATTGGAAATTACCTTTAACTGTAAATGGTTGCTTGACAAAAATAAATAAAATAAAAATAAATAAAAAATTTATTGAAGGTGCTACTAATGTTTTTAAAGTTTTTGAAGATTTGAAATTTCCTGTCCGACATTCAGTAAAGTGGTTAGAGCATCCCCGTCCTCATAACCTGTCATTAGGGTCCTAAATTTATAATAAAATCAATCAGAAAAACATTTAAAATAAAATTTTAATAGTAAATTTATTTAAGATATATCCAATAGACGTTAGGTTAATAAACGTTTAGAATAAAAAATAAACGTTTAGGTTCTATTGTAAGCTTAAAAATTGTTAATTGATATATTCTTGACACCCGCAACTAGCAAACTTACCTCAACTCCTTAACTTTATGCATTTATTACATTAATCTAGTACGAACAGTGCTCCACTGCGACCGCCAGGGTAAATTTTGGTTTAGTCCAATTTTTTTTGGCTGAAAGTTATTATTAGGTTTAAAAAAAAATTTAAATTGTTTTTGAAATCAAAACTAACTGCTAAGCATAAAAATATTTGATTTAGTTCATAAATCAGAACTCAGTTTAGCGGTCAAATATTGGAAGCCACCGGGCCGATCCACAGACCTACAAGAGGGCGGCAATTAGACACTGATTATTATTTCTAATAAAATAAACACTGGTTGGTTGCCCCCTTTTAGAGGTCTTGGTAATGGTCTAGAGGGGGAAGCTGTTGATGCTTATGACCACTTAGTTTAGCCCTGTAATATATATATATATATATATATATATATATATATATATATATATATATATATATATATATATATATATATATATATATATATATATATATATATTTTTTTTTTTTTAATTATATTCGCTTTCAACAAGGTTGCAAGCAACCACTAATTAGTGTTGGAAGTTACTGGAAGAGAAAAGATGAAGATTGTAGAGCAAGATAACGATTGACAGACGACTTAAAGTAATGCAAATTATATGAATCAAGAAAGCAAGATGAAGGAAGCAAATTCCAAAGAACTGATGTTCGAGGAAAAAAACTAAACGAATAAGAGTTTTTGGAGCACTTAGGAACAGTAACAGAAAAAGGATGAGACTTAATTGAATGACGAGTAGCACGAGATTGAATTTTAGTATATGGCACAAGAGACGCTAGCTCTTTAGAGCAGTGCCCATTAGAGTATTTGTAGAAAAGAGAAAGAGAAGCAACATTACGACGATGTAACAGAGGTTGAAGGTTGGCTGCAAGAGCAGGTCCAACTATGTTTACAATGCGTTTTTGCACCTTGTCTAAAAGAGAAAGGGCATCATTAGAAGATCCGCCCCAAATATGGCAACAGTATTCCATACAAGGCCGGATTTGAGATTTATAGAGATAAAGAATAGAACCCAGAGTAAGAAAATGACGAGCTCGATAAAGAGAAGCAACTTTAGCAGATGCTAATTATGCAACGGATTTGATATAAGGTTTCCAAGAAAGATCAGAAGTAAGAGTTAATCCTAGAAGATGAAGGGTAGGATACTCATCTAGTAAATTACCGTTCATAAATATAGGAAGGTCTAAATTATTGCGATAACGATTGGCCGAAAAAAATTGAGTTTTATCTGAGTTAAAGTTCACCAGCCACTGCGAGCCCCATGCTGTAGCAGAAGTGAGATCCTTTTCGAGCTCAGATGCCCCCTGCAAGCAATCAGAGGGAGTTGGCTTCTTATCGTGACAAGAATAAATGGTAGTATCATCAGCGAACAATGCCACCTTAGAATATCTGGAAGATCGTTAATGTAAATTAAAAAGAGTATAGGGCCAAGGATTGAACCTTGGGGAACCCCTGAGGTTACAGAATAAGAAGAAGAGTGCTGTCCATCAAGGACAACTTTTATACTACGATTGGAAAGAAAGGATTCAATAATGTTGAAGATGTTTCCAGATACACCGTAAGAAGAAAGTTTACGGAGAAGACCAGCATGCCAATCTTTATCAAACGCTTTAGAAATTTCAAGAGCAATGGCCTTAACCTCTCCACCTTTATCTAATGCGCGATAAAACCTATCGGTTATTACTGATAGCAAATCAGCCGTAGAACGAGAAGATCGAAATCCATACTGATGATCAGAAAGTAGGTTATGAGATTCGAGATTAAGTGTTTGTTAATTAAAGATTCAAAAACCTTGCTTATGATAGGAAGAAGACTAATGGGACGGTAGTTAGATGAGTCAGATTGCTCTCCAGAATTTTTAAAAATAGGGATAACAGATGCTGCTTTCCAGCAGGCTGGAAAACAAGACTCTGATAAGCACTTGTTGAATAATGTTGAAAAGATAGACGACAGCTCAGGAGAACACTTCTGCAAGACTCTAACAGGTATGTTGTCCGGGCCGCAAGCTGTAGAAGAGTCTAAGCGGGAAATCACTTTTGATACAGAAGCTGGAGATATACGAATGTCGAGCAATGGATCAACCTGTTTGACGGGTATATCAGGTAAAACACAACTAGTGGCATCAAGAGATGATATTGATGAAAAGTTTTTGGCAAACAATTCAGCTTTGTCTTTAGGTGAGGTGACAAAGTCTGAACCGTACAAAAGAGGTGGAATTACATACTTGCCCTTATTATTGATACTATTAAAGATTCTCCATAAGTCACGAGAGCCTAATTTTTGTATATATATGTATATATATATATATATATATATATATATATATATATATATATATATATATATATATATATATATATATATATATATATATATATATATATATATATTTATATATATATATATATATATATATATATATATATATATATACATATATATAAGAATTATTAATATATTGTACAATAATTAAAAAATTAA